GCGTCGTTCGGCGGATCCGGCGACGAGCGGACGCAGGTCGAGCGCCGCCGATCCCAGTTGAGCTTTCGAGCTTCCCGTGGCTTTCGGCATCGCAGCGGCGCGGTGGATCAGCAGATCTCGGTACCTCTGTTTATCGAACTAGCATCGTGTTATGTGCCGTTTCTCGTTCATTATAAACCTCCCTCGCCTATGCTTCGTACTTGCTCGAGTGAAATTATTCATCCTTATTGTACTTCAGTAAATAGTTGCCTGAGCGGCGACACCGTAGCTCGAACTTGCGAATAGAAGCCTCAATGGAAAATGCATTTATACAACTAGTTTGGTGGTAATTGTTGCGCTCACCTGTTTTTAGCGGGTACCTCGGGCGAATGAGATGGCAGCCCCCGTGGGTTCCTGAAGGAGTAAAATATTTACATTTAAAACAAATTTAAACTGACCTAACAATAGATCACACGAAACTTTTCAAGCGCGGTACAACCGGCAAGCTAACGTCTTCAGGTTCGGTTCAGGGAGAAATAGCACGCGGCCCGTACGCAGATTGGCTGCCGCTGACAACCCATTTCCGCCGCCGAGCTTGCCGAACCCTTGGCGGCAGTGATGTCCAACCCCCGCACCGCACCGCACCGCACTGCACCGCACCACCACACCTCCGCATTTACTTGACAGTTCCGAGAGAGCCCGAATTGAGGTGCGAGGTGTGACAGCTTGTACGACGAAGAACCGCCGCGTACCAAGCTCCGCTTTCTAAAACGTGTTCTTTTGCTAAACAACTTTCGATTACATGGCGCTCAATCAGACGCAGTTAACACGCTGCAGCGTGCGCTACCCGCATGCCTTCCTCAGTGCCGGTGTTGTTCAACGGTATCTGGCGACACACCGCAACACTTCCAAGCATGTTTAAAACGGGCGCCTGTAACGGAAAAAAACTGTGAGTGCGCAGGCGAGCTGGTGGATATTGATCAGAATTCAGAAAACCCAAGACTGTGGTAAAAGCAGGGAAACGGTGTCGAAGAAGAAAGACTTCCTTCTTCGACAGCGTTTCCGAAGACCAAAAGTCTTTCTTCTTCCACACCGCTTCCCTGCTTTGGCTTGTAACGGGCTCGCGAACACTACGTATTTGGTTCAACATACGGCGTGGTCGCTTTTGCACACCTAGCTTCCGCGGAGTATAAAAATAAAAAAAAAGATTAAAAAAAAAAAAAGAACACTCACCTCGGAATGAACGGATCCTCGTGCAAACAAAGACGCCAGGAGAAAAACTGGCGAACCCGCGAAGATTTCGCCGCTTTGCAGCCTCCTTCGCGTGGCGGCGGGGCCAGCGGGGCTCCTTCTCCAGGCCTTTTCATCTCAGTAGTTACCCGAGCGGCGGATAGAGGGCGCTGGCGCATTCGCCGCCATCGAGTGGCTTCAATTTGGTTGGTTTCGGTTTCAGCGCGCTCGCGGCTGTGTTTATGTGTTCAGTTTCGCCTAAGTTCGTGATGCAAATGTGGCCGTTATAGTACACAGTAAATAAAACTGTGGTACTGAGCCAATTTGAGAACCACAAAGTGGTTTCCTGTCATATTCGAAACTTTTTTACGAACACTTTATGATGTATCTGGTCATGGTCGTCGTTAATTTCGGTCAGGTTCGGCGGCAAAACAATATATGACGCACAAGGAGGATTTCCATCGTCTAAGGCCGTACCCACTGACCCTATAGTTTCTAGAAAAATTAACGAATGAAGAGACTAATGAGTCGATGTATAGTAAAAATGCAGGCCCCCAATTTGATTAAAAACCTCCTGAATCGCGAAAAACACACGAAGTCGCAAGTTCACTGCTCAGTGTCCTCTTTTCGCGGACACCAAACTTTTTGTGAACTTTAGAGATTTGAAATGTCTCCTATAATACACGGATATTCTAAGAAATGAGTGATATATGCTCGGGGTGTTTTCTTTAAAGAAATTAAGTACTCGAGATATAATTCTATACTCCGTCCTAGCTCGGAAGAGGGGGAGGGGGGGGGGAGGATTCCTTTACCTATTGACTTGCTAAAGTACTTATAACAGCATTTCATACCATTTGAGTTAGAAAATTAACTATTTGTTTTACTGGCAATTGATTACGATGTGCTTGACACATGAGATAAGGAACAGGCCCATCAATTGAAGTCTGAAAATTTGTCTTTGTATAAACTTTGCCAAATAAAATTAAAGGGCCCGGGAGTAGTGATCTTATGCACGTTTGGCTAAAATCGAATTCTAGGCATATCTTCATGAACCTGTCTAGACAGGTCTCTATTCAAACTGATGCAACCTAGGATCAACAATGCTGAACTCGGGCGATTTCCATTTAGATGGATTCTTTTCGGCATCACATATTGCGAGCCCTTGGCACTTTCAAGCTGCCTGTGACAGATTTTTTCCCACAGGGTTTTTTGTGTTGAAATAACTTAAATAAAGAAATTAAACCTCGTATTAAAATTCTTAGCACCCTTTAATTACTGCAAACATGGGACAGACTGAAGTGTATAGTTTCTTTAACTTCAAAAATAAACAAATCAAGCAAACGTTTATAATTCAAAAATAATTAAGAACGTCTAACAAATTTACGTGTCATGCCGTGAACAAAGGAAACGCCTGATGTGGACTTTACGATTATCGCGAGCATCAGATAAAATGTGAATTAAACGTTCGGAACATGTATATCGTATATATGCTATATAATCAAAAACAACCGTTTTAAATTTGTTACGAAGACAAGGCCGCAGGGTTTCAGGAAACACACATAGCTTCATACACTGAGTATTTTGGTCACATTCCTTAAATCCGAAAAGTGTGGCTATGCATATACAGTGTACTTCACATATTTAGGATATTGCGCCACTATCACTGAGCAAACTTCAGTTGTCATAAATAATTGGGCTCAATATGCGCCAGCGCTGACGCTGATTCCGGTACCTCCTCTGTTCTCACACGTATCCGGTACGCCGACGGTGAAAATAGTCAAAATATGTTACAGAATTAACTGCAGATGTCGTCGGGCACATAATGATGGCATGACCCGATCGAAAAGACCATCAGGTTTTCCTGATGGACCATCAGAGTTTCTTGATGGTCCATCAGACTTTTCTGATGGTCCATCAGGTTTCCTGATGGACCATCAAAGAAGTCTGATGGCCCATCAGCCCACTCCTGATGGACCATCAGCCCATTCCTGACGAACCATCTGACTTTCCTGATGGACCATTAGACTTCTTTGATGGCCCATCAGGCTTCCTGATGGACCATCAAGAGGGTCTGATGGACCATCAAGAAAGTCTGATGGACCATCAGCCCATTCTTGACGCACCATCCGACTGTCCTGATGGACCATTAGACTTCTTTGATGGCCCATCAGGCTTCCTGATGGACCATCAAGAAGGTCTGATGGACCATCAAGAAGGTCTGATGGACCATCAAGAAAGTCTGATGGACCATCAGCCCATTCTTGACGCACCATCCGACTCTCCTGATGGACCATCAGATGCGTTTAGATGGTCCGTCAGAAGTTCCTGACGGCGTTTAATGGTCTGTTGGACACTCTTGATGGGCTGTCAGAGGTGGTCTAATGGTCGTCAGAAGTTTTATGTTTCACTTCGGTTCCATCAAAAGCGCCTTATTTCCCGGCCGTCGGGACTTTCTTTGCGCACAATGTTTATCAAAAGTGCTTGATTAATTGTTGCTCGCGGTATTCTGACGGCGCCGTCAGAGGCGTTTAATAACAATTGATATATGGGTCGCGACATATTTGCCAGCATGTGGTGAGTCGCGGGCTCGCGAGGTGCTGACACAACTATATGTCACGCGATTTGTCTTTACTCACTGAGTCCCCGATTCACCGGCAACTGTGCGTTCGTCTGCAATCACGCACCGTGGAAACCCGTACTCACGGTAGGGTTCATCGTTTCGCATATGCTTCATCTACGCCTTTCATTACCAACGGAAGGTGGACAGACTTTTCGTCGACACATTAATATTTATAGACACGCCCCCCCCCCCCCCCCCCCCCCCCCCCCCGAGCCCCGCAACCGTTGTGCGCATCGGACGGTCGCGGCGGCAATTAAGTTCAGCTTCCAAACAGACCGCGCGGCCATTGCTTTGCTTCACTTTGCTCGAAGGTTAAATAGTCGGAGGAATGCGCCACCGCCTCGCTGAATGAGCGGCCCAAAGTCGAGGAGGCTCCGCAACTTTGCACGCTACAAAATAGGCGATTTGAGGCTATGTCGCGATAAAAAAAGCTGTCGTTGAATCTCGCGTATGATATATGATGGGCCGCAGCCGCGTGGTCAATGGGTTGATGTGATTTTTTTTTATTAAGGAAAGGCCTTATATGTCTCGTCGTTCAGACGACCTTAAAAGCTCTTGAGCGGAAACACGTCGAGTCACAAAAGGTGCTAAAACCGGCGACACGAAAGGTAGAAAAACCTGCATTATTCAGTATTCAGCTGCACTAGAACCCTTTTGGACCAAGGCGGTCGTTAACGAAGCAGCTTCGCAGGGGTTTTAGACTGAATTAAAGTTTTCAACACCACCGCCACCATCATAGATATAAAAAAAAAAAAAAAAAAAAAAAAAAAAAAAAAAAAAAAAAAAAAACTCTCTGCTCCTCTCGGGAGAGGAGCAACCAGCGACCTCTCCTTCGGTATGCCGACGCGCTACCCCTGTGCCACGGGCGGAGGACTGTCGAGGGTCGCGTAAATTAGGACTTTGTTTTTAATGTATCGGCTACTGCCGACGCATCGGCTACTTGCGGCGCCAATTTCTTTACACGCAGTGTTGACACTTGACAGATTTCTCTCAAAAATGTTCTCATTCAAGTTCATACGCAGTGTTCGACACTCGACGATCCGTTAATTTTAATGTATACTTTATATTTTGAAAGACGTTCGCCGCTTATATCCGTTCGAGCAACTGCGTTTTCAAAAGCTTCGAATCCAAATCCAAATCCAGTTGTTTCGTGCGCTTTGTTGCCTCGGCAGCCTCACCCTTCCTCGTGGAGTGTTTTTGAGGTTTTAGATATTTCGGTAGGTTTCACTCGATTTTGCGAGAACGGAGAAATAAGCGACGTCCACAGGGCTTTATTTAAAAACTGCAATCCTTCGAATGTGGTCGACTTCGAGCGTAGGACGGCGTACAAGGTGTCTTGGGACGGCCACGCGAACACTCGAGGCGGCTATTACGACGCCGAGATCCTCGAACTGACGGGTGAGTATGTATTTTTTACCATCCCAAAGTGCGACGTAGCCACAAGCAATCGCCGCTTTCTTTCTTTTTTATTGCGACTGTAATTAAAAGTGAATATTGTAGACTGCTTAGATGGGGCACCAAGCTAGGCAGATGAATGCATGGGCTAATACTTCAGTTGAGCGTGTGGACTGAACTGCCTTGCACGTGACATCATATGGCACCCTACAAGCCGCCATTGGTCCTGTGCCTTAAGTCCGCGCTAATTTACTCGTACTCCACCGTTCCGAGTTTCACACTCCGAGCGCAGCAACTAAACGAAGCATAGCGTACAGTAGCGCAACACACCGAAGCTGTCGGCGAGCTGTATGAGCCACTTCCGACCACAGTTTTATGACGAACCCAGCATCTCGCGGATGCCAAACTTATTTTGAAGATAAAATTAATTAAGGGCTCTGTAAAATGGTGAAATAAAAGCCCCCCCCCCCAAAAAAAAAAAAAAAAAAAAAAGAAAAGAAATGCGCGGCCACGTTAGGAAATTTTTACGAATGTTTTAATATTTGTGAAAGGTTTGAATACTCGCTTCGACCAGATATGGTGAATGTTACTTTGACCGATCTATTTATTGACCAGGCATGCTGTTTAGATTCAAATGAAAGACAGCATTCTTGAACTCGCTTGTCAAAACAAGAAACTCTCAAACTTGTCAGATATCTTGGGTTTCCGTCTTCCAGCGCGAGACGGAACACGTCGATGTGCTACTCCAATACTAGCACACCACCGTTCAATAAATAGCACATTAATTAGTTTTCAGGCGAGATGCATGGACAAACTTTTTCCGCAACGTTTTCGATTTCCAATCGAACTATCTTTATTCGCAGGGCTGTGCATTCTACAAAGGGCAGCGATCGGACTGTCCTCTCATCTCGACAGCGTTTCTGTCGCTGTACCATCATAACGCTACTGTTCGATGGGTAATTCGTTTTCAGGTGAGATTCGGGAACAAGCCTTTTCCGTAATGGTCCTGGCTTTGAAATCAAATCATTTTACTCGCTGGGTTAAGCATTCTTCAACTGAAATGAGGCAGCGATCCACTGCACTCCTCGTCTCGGCGACGTTTCTGTCAGCGCGAAGAAATGACTTGCACTTCGAGAAATACTCGGTGCAAAAAGAGCACGCTTGAGTGTCAGTCCTTTGGTGGCGCTTCTGTCCATTTAATGAACAGAGCGCCAAACTCTTGCGCTCCGCAGCACAAACTTAGGCGCACAATCGTGGCTGATTCAATGTCAATTCATGCGAGTCATATAATACATGGCTTGCATTGATGTTGCATCAGCTGCCATTGCTTCCTGACCAATTTATTTATTCATGATCACAAATGTACAGTCGGGGACAAAAGTCCCCAGGACGTGCTAGCTGCGGCTGAAACCCATTGCTCTGCCACCTGCCGGCGGGTCGCCTGGATTCGAGATCACACAAAAGTGCATGCGCGTCCTACTCTGCCTGCAAACATGTGCGTTTCCTGCTCTTCTGCGGCACAGCACCTAACTAGGAATCGGGCACGTGGTACTGCCTCGGAGATAGCGCTGGCGGCTGACGAGCGTCTGCTATACATTCCAAAACTCGAGATACCGCCTGGGGCATTGCGCCGCATTTCGTCGTGTCAGCGCACCTTGCTTTATAACCAGTTCAGCTTATCGCTTAATTGAGCTGCCTTGACTTCTTGCTTTATAGGTGCCATGTCAGTAAGCACTATCTCCGAAGTGGTACCACGCGCCCGATTCCGAGTTAGGCGCCGCGCCGCAGCAGAGCGGGAAAGCGCACACGTTGGCAGGTACAATAGGACGCACGTGCGCCCTTCTGTGATCTCGAAACCAGGCGACCCGCCGGCAGATGGCAGAGGAATGCGTTTCAGTCGCAGCTTGCGTGACCTCGAGACTTTTGTCCCCGACTGTACCTACAAGAAACCCAAGAGGAAATGGCAACTGAACTGGCCAGGCGCAAACAGGCAGCTGAAGCATCTGCAAGTTCACACAAAGCTGCTCCTCCCAGGAACGTCAGCCCTTGTGCCCTCTAACGCAAAGCAGATTTTGTGTAAATTTTGTCACCAGAATATCATTACCTGTCTATGTAATATGGTACAGCCTATTTTTTCTGGGAGTGTCCAAAAGCTAAATCTTAGCGCTAATTAAATTTTTAGATTCGGTTTATGTCAGGACAAAAGCTGAAAGTGACGATGTTGCAAGGCTCTCAAAAGCAGCGCCAGCCACATATGGCTAGCAGCGACCGAAACGGGCACACAACTGACCAATCCAACTGATGCAGAAAGAGAGCTCGTCGTGCACAAAATGTGAGTGTGGAAAGCAGCTTGGGAATCCCAACACTGCGTAATGTCATGTCGAGTCCTTAACATTTATACTTCCTTGGGATTGCTCTGTTTCACCACTCAGTCAAGGCTTTGCAGTTTACCAAGCCTTCTTTATTTCACAAAGGCCAGTAAAGCAGTCGGGAGTGACAAGGAAGACAAAAAATCAACTAAATCACAAAAAAAAAAATAACACAGGGATCCAGTTTGATGCCGGCAACAATGTGTTGTCATGATTTGTTGATGAGGAATGCCATGCTTTCTGCCTACACCCCAATGTGCGTGAGTAATGGTGCTAGGGGGCACACCGGCAGAGCTGCTAGAAACACCTTTCTCTGACTTACCCTGCTCTATCAATTGCAGGACTACCTGCGGCTCGGCTGTTGATGCGGGAGGTGCTGTAGGGCCCTACTGCCTAACACGTGAGTCATTTATGGCCTGACCTCTGGGTACTCGTATGTTTACCGTACTAACAGAACCCATGCTTTAGCATTAAAAAGGTAACTTTTTTAATGAACCTGCAGTATATGAAAGAAGTTTGCTGTGCGGTGATAGAGCCGAACATGTCATATGCAACACATGGCTTATATCTTGCATAGAGGATATTCATTCATAAAGGGTGGAAACAATATGCTGAGAAAGAAGGCATAAACGGCAAAGAGCTCTCTACTTTACTGTTGTGGCTGCGCTCTGTTGCTGAGCAGAATGACCGAGGAATGTCCTTCCTACGTCATGACTACGTAGCAAGTTCCCCAATGTTGCTAGATTACCTCCCAAATAGGCTCCACATGCATCCACCAGGTGCACATTGAAAGATTGTTTGATTAGCTTTAAAATTAGTTTGCTTGTGCCCTTCAGCAAAGGACTGGTATTTTTGAGGTTATGTTGCAACCTGCAACTCATTAAAGCGATAAAATGAGCGCTGGAATTTGGTTTCTGTACCTCTTTAATGTGAAATTGTTTGTTTCAGTTGCTGACGAGGACATCCTTGCAAAGAATGAGATCGTGGATCCTAGCATCGGCCTCCAGAAAAGGAAGGAATGGTAAAATAGAAAAACTTTTCACTTTCATTCAGTGTATAATATACATTAAAAGAGTTTAGGATAGTGCAGGTGTGGCCAGAGTGACATGGAGTTAGAGCCGCAGACAAAACTACGAAAGTTTAGAGTCGCTGGAGAAAAGAAAGGGGGAGGGGGCTACTTTTAACAAGAAACAATATGGAGGGAACAGTTATTTCCATAGAGGACAAGTATAATGGGCGATAACAACAAATGACACTATGCATCAGAAGGTCCTTTCCACTGCTAACCAAAAATTAATACACAATTCACTAGCCAGTCACTGCCCCTGACAACTGTTATGCGTATACGGTTGAAAGTCTTTCTAGAACAATAAAGGAAACAGGGTCACTCGACGCATCTATGTGGCAAAAAGCATTCCAGGTGTATATATGTAGTGTGTTGCCAGGCTGCCAAGACTTGTAGCTCTTTCTAAATTCTAGAACCCTTTTCGTCTATGGGACTCGTTTTCCAGGGAGCCGCGAGCTGCACTTGGACCCGCAAAGAGCCGCGTGCGGCTCGCGAGCCTCGCTTTGGCCACTCCTGAGATAATGTAAGCACAGTAGATTGAATCGATTGCAACAAGAAGTCAATAAAACATTATTGTAGCCAGGCTCTTAATTGTAGTTACAGCCAGTGCCTGGAAAACATTCTGTTGTCATGCTCACCTGATGCAACTAAGGGATTATGTAGCTGTTTCATGGAGATGCCATGAAGCTTTGTAGGCCCATCAGCTTCGCAGACGCCCATGAAGATAGGAATTCATGTGTAGTGCTGTCTTAAACTTAAAGGCCTAATTTTCATTAATGTACTTATTTTAGTGCATTTTCAACGCATCTTGGAGTATACAGTACCACTCTACGTCAACGACTGGTATATGTGAAGCTGTTTCTCGCTTTTGTCTATAACAGATCCATGTCGGGCAAGGTGTGCACGTCAACCAGGAATGCGGGCAACATGCGGAAAGCAGAGTGCGACTCTATGTTTTGCAAGATCACTGCTGCTTCCATAGGGTGAGTGGAAGTGCGTTTGGAGAGGTCGGTGACCGGCACCCTCTCCAACAAGGCAAAGGCAGCGAGGCGAGAGAAGGCGTTTGCCCCGCTCACTCAGCGGAAGGTGCAGGCTCTCTCACTAAGCAAACATTTTTAAAATCTTGATATGAATCTCGCGGAGTCACGTAAAATATTTCATGCTAAATTCGTATCAACGAAAGCAAAACAAAATTTATATTTTGAAACACAAGGAATGCATGAATGTGCATTTATTTATGGGAGAAAATATCTTGTATGCAATTTACACGATTCTAACACGCCCCGATAGTAACACACGGTTATAATCAACCCACGAATGTTGAAAAAATGAATTAATGTCGATTCTACTGTGCAAATAAATGTCGATTCTAGTTCGCAGATAAAATAATGACGGCTGAACAACATTCACTTTGTGGAAAACATTTTATCAAATGCACATACTCGGAAAGTGCCCACACTATGTGCTGTTGAAGCCCTACATCAAAAACTTGCAAGCAAAAATTCGGTTTCTTTGTCTTTCCAACCAAGCTCGCATGTCACCGTGGACCACACCGAAGACACCACCAACATCACTCGGTTTTTTGTTTTTGCCAACGCAGTTACTTTGTTTTTTAGACGTAACCTTATAGTAAGATCGGTTTTGCTTTTCCAAGGCTGAAACACCATTCCACGAGATCGCAAAAACAAAAAAGCGATTTTGGATTCAGATTGGATTGGATTTGAAACATGTGTTGATGGTGATGGGGCTGGCCACTTTGCACAGTTTTTTTAGCATTTTGTTTAGTTTTGGTTTTTGGGTCCGATTGTAACATGCATGTAATTTTGAGCACCAGTTTTTGGGTAAAGTGCGGCTGAACCCTGGCAGCAGCAGGCAATCAGCCGCCCGGAGCCTTGAAAGCTTACAGTCGCCGATCGTGGCCTCCTTGCCACTATCAGTTGTGGAGCACACATTCGTATCAGCCGTCGCAGCGCGTAGAGGGATTCGGAACACCCAAAAATTTTCACGTCGTACACAATGCACTTCGGCCGGGGAATTTGGGAATTTGTTTTAATCCGAAATTCGTACCAGTTAGTATCACCGAGATTTTACTCTAGTAGGTTGTCTGCTAACACCTGGACATGTGATGGGGGTACCCCGCCAAGAATGAGTCAATCATAACAGATAATAACCGTAAATAATCGCACATTTGTATTTTGAACAGATAATTTTATTTTTCGTTCTAAGCAACGAACTCGAGCAAGTGCTGGAAGAGAAGTCAACGGAGAGCTCGATGTGTCGTGGGCTATCCGGCAAAGCTGGCGTGGCTACGAGCTGTGCCGTTCGGGTGCATAGTGGTGGTGTAGACGTGTTACAGCCTAGCCATTTGAAACACCTGTGGGCTTTACGTGGACCAAAGCGGACTAAGCCGTCTAAGCGCCTATGTGTGAGATAAGTAATGTCAAGGTCATCGCGTTCAGGGCGAGATTACTCCAACAGTTGAGTATACCTCCAAACAGTGGCGCTGCTCCGATGTGTAGTGCAGCTACATAGCGGTTTTCGCCATGTCACGACTACGTCCAAGATCCCCAACATTGCTAGATTACCTCCCAACGAAGCTTCAGAGGCCTCCACCAGGTGCACATTGAAAGTCTGTTTAATTACCTTTAAATTTAGAGCCAGCCCATGAATGGAAGATCTTTCAAGGAATGTGAAAGATTGTTTTTATATAGAACTGCATTGTTCTTTCTGGTGCTCATGATGCTATTTTTTTAATTCTGTGGTGTGTCTAAGCTGTTACCACAGCGAGGGATGATAACCAAGTATAAGCAGTTTCCAACGTACATTGTCTACTTATCTAGAATTGTAGCTCCTATTTCTTAGAAGGTCACTAGCCTAGCAGTGAGATTTATAGACATGGGCTACCTGTTTTGTGCTTAAAAGAATCTAACAGAAGCCAGGGTGAGCTTTCTATTGGGAGTGGAACATAAATCAGGATACTGCGGTACTTTTGTTTTCATGGTGATCTCTGAACGCTGTAAATACTAAGAAACGTTGAAGGTTTGTTAGGTGCCAGCTGCCACTTAATTGCTTTTATTTGAGACTAATTTACCCTTGGTCTTCTCAAACTATGACCCTCCAGCCTGTATTTATGACGTTCTATATTGTTTTAAGTCTGAGCTCTGCAAAAAATAATTACCCTGGAATTTCAATATTCCAGGCTGCTTTTGACTACACCTGAGGGAGAAAGGTACCGCCAGGCTGAAAGGGCAGCCCGGCACCAGAACATACGGCGGTACCTGTAAGAAAAGCTGTCCAATCTCAAGAGAAATCACTACAAAGGTATGTGCATCTATACTCTAACTTCCTTAATTAAGTAATATACTATTTTGGGTCTCAAGTTTACAAGCAATTATTTTAAATGATGGTATAGATAAATTATTTAGAGGTTAATATATCTAAATGTTTATGCAAACAACTTTAAAGTAAGTCTGTTGATCAGCTGACCACTTGAAAAAGGCTTTGGGTTGCCTGGTCGCTACTGCCATCCCATCAGGCCGTGCTCGCTCACTCTCCAAAAAGTTGCATGGTCACACAATTACAATGAAGCACGTCACTCTTACTGCCCCTTAGTCGTCTCTAGGCCCACTCTGCTGTTTACGTATGTCAATGGTCGTCCTGTGTTTGGACTCATTGCTGATCTCTGAATTGCCCTTGACATGTCCAGGCTCATCCCTTTGCTGCCTGTCCTCCCCCGATGCGTGGTCCGACCACGGACTGCCCATGCTGTTGCAGGTCTGCCATCGCTTGCACCCCATGTTGCAGCCTTTTTACCCTTTTCTTCATATTAATTTAGCTTAATTTATATATTGCCAATACTATTGAAATGGAATAGATGTACTATCGCAGCCAATATGAGCTGAAACGCCACTGCACGTGGCACGCGATGAGAGTTGTCTCTCAGATTGTTCAGCAAACCTTGGTATGCGTTGAGGTAGAAACAAATCACTTCTTGTGCTCGTTGCACCACTGTGCCGTTCCGTGTCAATTTTCAGCTCATAGTGGCACAATGAGTGCAAGAAGCAACCTGCCTAAACCTCAGCAAACACAAAGGTTCACTGAAAATCCGACAGGTGGCTCTGATAGTACCACACGCCATGTGTCATGGCGCTTCAACTAATATTGGTCACAATAGTACTTCCTCAAATGTTTCTGGTTTTTCTGTACCACCTAGCCATTCCGCCCAGCGAAACAATGTATGATTTCATAACTTCATAATAAAAACGTCAAAGCAATGCAGCTTGTTTGACTTTATTCTTATTAGTAGCTGCATTCGCCGCACTCAAATGTCGGGCTGGCGATTACCAGTGTGCAGTGGACAATATAATTAAATTCTAAGTGGGATATGCACCTCGTCATGCTCCAGGCATGGCATAATTAAGTTTCCAGATTATGCATTCACATATTGTTGTGTTTTTTAAGTTGTGGCCAACTCGAACTGTTTCAAATTAGCCATGAAACCACCATAATCAAACCGTAAAAAAATAGGCGTCTCAAAATACGACAGGTCATTCGACCATCAGACCAAACCAACAGACCATCAAGCCATCAAACCATCAAACCATCAGGCCAACAGACCATCAAACCATCAGGCCAATAGACCATCAGGCCAACAGACCATCAAACCATCAGACGTCCCAAGATACGACTCCATCAGACCATCAGGATTTTCCTGGTGGTCTTTTCGATAGGGTATCGGGCGGTGATTTACAATAATGCGAAAGACGCAGTGAAACGCGACGAAAAACGCGAGCGCAACGCTTTCGCCAAGGCGCGGAGCTAAGGGACAGCGGAGCGACGAGTTCAAGCGACCTTATGGCGGCCGCGTCACGTCATTCCAAGATGGCAGCGCCCACGCGACGAAGGCTCAAAAGGTCTTATATTTGCGCACGCGCGCGCCGCCAGCAGTACTCTCGCCGCTCCTGCTTCCATCTAGCGGAGATCAAATGAGACACTGTCGTCTGTCCATGGAGCTTATGGCCCTAAAGATCAGTGCCGAAGGCCATGGTGTTTTATTCTCATATGAGCATCGCACGTCATGAATAGAAAGAAGCCTGAATTAAATTAAGAACAGAAGCTCAATCAACCGAACTTCTCCGTTTAAGTAAAAATATCAACGTGCCTGAGGCGGCAACGCAACACCGACAGATTGCTTCCCTGCGCAGGGCGCGCGAGTCAAACAGAGGCTCATAAACCACGGACCCACCGGCACAGACTGGGCTGCCTTGAGTAGTGTTGGGCCGCATTCCAAACATAGTTGATTTGACTCGGCGTTTTAGGTTGTTCTAGGGGTGTGGTCGCTTGACATGCGTGACATGAACCGCCGAAGTAATTCGGATCTGCTCGAGTAATATTTAGGAACACAGCCTTGCTGTAACGCGCCAGACGCGCAGACGCGCTCTTACACCACTTCCTCCCCCCCCCCCCCTCCCCCACCCAAACACGCACACACAATCCCCGGCCACGGTCGGGCTTGGAGTTTTGGATTCCTGCGCTTGCCCCGACCTGGTTGCCTGTCTGCGCCGTGCGCTGTCGGCTCGTCATCTCCGCCGCCTGTGCCTTCAGGCCCGCTGGTGCGGAGCAAGCCGGTCCTTGTGTGGACTGATGAAACCTTGGTCATTTCACCGCCTGTCGCCCGATCATCGTTTTTTGTGTATTTCCAAAGTGCACGTGCTCCGGCGTCTCTCGGCACGAGGGCGTCGGTTTACCTAGCCTCTTAATACAATTTTATCCACAGATGTTTATTTATATGTAAGGCTCGGCGTTTTCCGTTTTGACCAATAAACACCGATAAAAGTATGCCGAATTAACTTTTGGAAATTCGGTTTTCACCGGAAAATGTCAGCATCTTAGACTAGTAAGGAACGCCAAGAAGAGAAGGGGAAAGGGAGGGGGGCATCTGTCATCGTACGTGACCGCGAAGTGTTCTGTTCTGGGACAGGGCAGCGCTCTTTAGGGAGTATTGGCGTCTGTCATGGATGCAATTTACGTTCCTCTTCGTGATTCAGTCGTTGTGCGTCAATTTCGCTGTCGTCGTGTAAGGATCGGACTTGGAGTGTTTTTATCAAGGCGAAAGCCTTATATGTTTCATCGTTCAGTCAACCTTGAAAGTCGTTGAGCGAAAACCTGTCCACACGAAAGGCATGAAAAATATTCTGCACGCACACTCCTTCACATTTGCACCCTCTTCGAAGGACCTGACGACCTTGACGTCATCCTAGAGTTTGTCCTGGACGTCGATATTGACGCCGTCCTTGAGGTCGTCCTGAAGATCGTGCTAGAAATCGTTCTAGATGTCGTCCTAGACGTCGTCTTTGACGTCGTCCTTGAGGTCGCCCTCGAGGTCGTCCTAGAAGTCGTTTTAGACGTCGTCTTTAACGTCCACCTCTATGACGTCATTCTCGACGTAGTTCTTGAGGTCGTCCTTAAAGGGGTAGGGAAACGAAATTTCAGCGCTCATTTCCTGGCTTTAATGTGTTGCATGTTGCACCCTAACCTCAAAAACACCAGTCTTCGGTTGAAAAGGAGAAAAAAAAACTAATTTTAAAGCTAAATAAACGACTTTCAGTGTGCACCTGTTGGCTGCATGCGGAGCCTATTTGGGAGGTAGTCTAGCAACGTTGTGGAATCTGCTACGTAGTCGAGACGTAGCAGATTCCTTCGGAGCAGCGCCACTCTTTGACATTTCAACGTTTCAATTCTTAGCTTTCTTCCTGAACCCACAAATCGCGCATTTCAGCGAATGGTCCAAGAAGGTGGAAAGGAAGGACTTCCCTCTTTCTCGGACCCTCGTTCATGCAACCGGAAACAGCCATTCTCCCTCTAGGCTCCTTGCATTGACGTCACATCGCATACTTTTGAACACCAAGTAAAAGGAGTAGAGGGAAGCTGCTTTTGTAAGAATTTTGGTTGACAGATTAATCTCCTATAATCTTCTGGGGGGAGAATAGCGACGCCTCTACAAATCCGGGAGGCACAAAGGAGGATCCTGATAAGAGGGAAGCTCCTTCTTCCCCTTTTCTCTGGAGGGCATCGGAAGTGACGTCATGTGCAAGCCCGCCCCTCAAAACTCGGAAAAAGTTGCTTTTCCCACCACGTTCAGCCCTAAGCTGACAGTGTTATGGGAGCTACGTGCTCCTTGGGCCAGCCGCACGCTCGTCACCCCACGGGTACTTCGAACGGCTCGGTTGTAACGCGCTGACGCTATTGACACCACCACAACGCTGACAACGCCACCAAGGGCAAAGCTCATAACCACGCCAGCCTTGCTACGTCACGTATGCGGGGAATCTTTTCTTTCTGTTTTTGTTTGCGCCGGATATCCCATGACGCATCGCGCTCTCCGTTCGCTTCTCTTCGAGCGCTTGCTCGAGTGCACCGTTTGGAACGAAAAATATAACCAGTCGTTCAAAATACAAACGTGCGATTATCATTTACGGTTATTATCCGTCATGATTGACTCATTTACGAACGAAATCTGAATATTTCAATTTTTGTTTCCGTACCTCTAAAATCGCCCTCGAGGTCGTGAAAAAAGAGAATCTAAAAAGAAACAGTACGTGAAACAATGTAAATCATGCGTCTGTCTTTAATGCACCACCACCCGGGCTTTCGCCTTCAAGTCGTCTTAGGGATAACATAACAGGCCTTCCAATTTTGTTTTTCAGGCCGTTTTATTTTACTTTTGTTTTCTTTTGTGGGGGAGGGGAGTCATCCTGTTTGTACTGTACACGGCTTCCACAAAGAAGCCCAAAGCTGTTTCAACACTCTCTTTCAAGTATTTCTCTGATTAGAGGGAAGCAGCCTTGATAATTCCATAAATATGACGGACTAAAAAGCGCGCCAAGAATTATACATGAGAATTTCGAGATTTAAAATTTTTTAAAATTTCGAGATTAAAATCGTCCCGACTAAACATAACTTTACAAGTGCTGCCACGGGTTGATTGATTGAGATCTGCGTCTGATGTACTCTATTTTGGCCAAACCTGATTAAAAAATATGGAACATTCACCCCTCCAAAAAAAAAAGAAGTGGTAAGCTTTGATCTCTAAAAATATTTGCCGATGAAAACCGAAAATTTCATTCTCAAATAAAAATGAATAAAAAAAAGCCAAATTCACAATAAATAAATAAATAAACGAAAACTAGGAGCTTTTTTTTATGTTACACGCGACGGCGCCAGTCAGTTTGAAAAAGGATGTCTCCTTGTATCGGGCCGCGGCGAACCTGAACCAGAACCGGCGCGCCTGCCAAACAGCGCTGCAGTTTCAACCCCACCTCTCCTATCATATTTGCTTGCCTTTCTTCGAATGCATGCAAATAGGGTTTATTCGCGCGCTGAACTATCACCCAGAGCTATCACCCAGGCAACGTTGCAGCCGAGGTACATAATTCGTCCATGGCGCTGCTCACGGTCGGGGCCAAGGCCTCCGCTCCCCCTCCCCTAAATTGACGGTGCAGTGGAGGCTACGTGCTCGCCATACCAATCAATTGCCTGCCTCTGATCATTGACATTGCTCTCCGCGAGTGAGTAATATACGAGGGGGTGTAATCAGGTGGTGCGGCCGTTTTTTGAAAGCTGGATAGAAAGGGTACACAAAGCGCACCACGTTGCAAAACCCTCCACCTTAAGGCCCTCTACAAGTTTTCAATTGACACCTTTACCCTTAAATCATTATTTTAAAGGTGAGCTGATTACATTTATTTCAACAAGTAATTAGACTCAATACAACAATTACTGGCTCATTACTGGCAAGTAGTTTGCTTCCTATTTACTATC